ATCAATATGGAGAAGATGGATTGTTTATATTCAAAAGAAGTATAGAGTGGTAGAATATAATTTAGGTTTTTAGATTTTCTTACTTTTTCTATCTTTTCATGTAGATCAAGATATTTTGTGGAGTTAGAGATATTAGTATTTGTTTACTTTTATATGAATATTATCCTGGGATTAGGTTTGGGAAGTCCGGGGGTGGTGGTTATTTGTTATTGTGTTTATGTATGTTATGATTGTTTCTTTTTGATGGAAAATAATAAAATTTCTTTGGGGAAAAAAAAAAAGAGCTTGAATGGTAACACATTTTCTCATTTGATACGTTCATATTTTTCAGGTTCCTAATGGCTCGTACTGTAGCTCTTGCTTATTTATTTTTTGGTATTTATTTATTTATAATGTTTAAATGTAATCTTTCAGAAACCACAGCAATGCCTGATAATTTTTAGCATTTGGACAACTTGCAGTCTAGAAGTGAATGTGTTAGAATTTGATTCTTAAATGAATTTTTTTTAAAAAAAAATAATTTGGAATTCTGCTACAGTGCAGTCCAGATTGTATTTTTCCCTAGAGGCAAGTTTCCTAAAGACTATTTCCAAATAGTCTTTCTCTTCCCAGTCTATAAAATAGTTTGTTATGTATCTTGGCTTTGTGTTACAGCGATGTGTTCTGTGGATTATTGCTTTGTGCAAATCTTGATGGGGTTCCACGAATTGGTCACCTTCAGGGAGAAATTATTCCAACTTCTTTTTTCCACCAAGGTGTTGTAGTGAACTGCAGGTATGTAAAATCTGATTCATTGTGCAACACTGGCTTTTTCAGTTTACCTAAAAATTTGAACATAAAAGCACATTCAAATAGGTTGTTTCTCAATAAATTAGGTTAAAACTACATTTAATAAGTTCTGGTTTATTTTAATTTTTATGGTTTTTTTCATTGTACTGGCATCTGAATAGGTTGTTTAATACAAATGCAAAATTATTCTATTGCTTCACTGAGATAATTTGAAATTTCATTGTTTCAGTGTTGATAAATTAATTTTAATTTTTCTTTTATTTTAGTATGTTTCTTATTTGGACACACAAAATTTTCCAACACAGCAAACATCCATAAATAGAGTGAAAAAATAATCATATTATTTTGCTTCCTGGATTTTCAGGTTATGCATGCTATGAGTATTTTACATCTGTTTATTCTGATGAAGTTTAATAATGTTGGTAACATTTTTTAAAACTTCTTCTTGTAGTTGTACACATGTACTTTTAGATGATGAAACAGATTTAGGATATGTAGAAGATGGGACTCCTTGTGGTCCTAATATGATGTGTATGGACCGAAGATGCCTCTCTATTCAGTCCTTGAACATAAGCAGCTGTCCTATGGATGCTAATGGAAAAGTTTGTTCGGGACATGGGGTAAGTCCCAGGTCAGCAGAATATGTGAGACACCTATTTCATAGAAAACCATTTTTCTTACTTCTAATCTGTATGGATATCTTTACACATGAAGACAGGAGCATAAATTCCTGATAGGATGTACAAGAATTCGTCCCTTCATCTCATTGTTTAACTTTCATTAATTTAGTCATGCCTGGAGATCTTTTCTTCTTCTACTACTATTTACTCCTGGCATATTTACTACTACAGTTTATTTGGAATAGAAAAAGATTGTTCTATAAAGATATAAAATAGAAATATTGTATAGAATCATAATTAACAGAGTTACATGCAGAACTCAGTTTGGCACACTTATATGCAAAGGATTGTCCTCAATTGAAATATAGCTTTCAACTGTATATCTGGTAACTATAATTCACCCCCTTCCCCTCTCTGGGGCATAGATTGTACCACTTGGGTGAAACTGATATGAGACAAATCTAAAGAATAACAATGTTTCCTCCCCCCCCCCCTTCCATTCAATTATAGCTGTTTTTTGAGACTGCCTGAAACATGTCCCTACAGTTTTCCTGACAAAGTTTTTAGAAGTAGTTTGCCATTTTCTTCTTCCTAGGGCCGAGAGAAAGTGGCTGGCCCTAGGTCACCCAGCTTACTTTGTGCCCAAGGCAGGACTAGAATTCACGGTCTCTTAGTTTCAGGCCTGATGCTTTACTACTACACCAAACTGGCTCTTGATGTTTCCTTAGTAGCATGTGAATGGTGCTTTTTTGTTGAAGATCTTGTTGAATTACCATCTCCTTTTTCTGTCCTAGCTAGAATATTCCCAGGTGCAGAATGGCAACCATTCTTTTTCACTTTTTGATGCTCACACTGGAGTATCTAAAAATATTAAGCCAGTGGGAAGTATATCAGTATCCATCCTATTTCTTGAGCCTGGGTCAAGAAATGTGAATGTCAAGAAATGTGAATGAGGTGCCCTTGATGTTCTCTGAGCTCGGCTGTTTTCTTGCAAATGTTTCATTACTCGAACTAGGTAATAATAATTAACTTCATTGACCATTGATGATATTACTTAGTTTGAGTAATGAAATGTCTGCAAGAAAACAACCAAACTTAGAGAGCACCAAGGACTCCTCATTTGAACTCTGAGCTATAAATATCTATCGGTATTTGTGAGATATTATTGTGAGCCTTTGAGACTCAGGCAGCATATACATTTAATTTTTTTTTGTTATTACAATAAATTATTTTTGTTTCTTATGTGATTATCTGAATAGTTAATGGGGTTAACATTTTACTTAAAATCACATTGAAATGTTACGTTTTCTGATATGACAATGTTTTTTCCTAAAATAATTTGTCCTTTTGCTTATGAAAGTATACAGTGGTTCTTCAGTCTACCTATAGGCAGTCAAAAATACACAAAGCTTGGAACAGTTTTGTTTACCTAGTTTCAGCTGTGATTTCAGAAAAATACTGAGATTCTTTTTTGTTTTAGAATGAAAGCATTTTAACTTATAAGCCATTAACTGCTCATTGCTGTGTATTTCTATATGGGCAATCATATACAGATGTATGTGCTTCCAAAGGAACACTGAGGCAGGCCAGATTCTCCTGTGATGATGAGATGTCTTTGTTTCTCTGGCAGCATGTAGCTATTCAGTGACATCAGTGCACCGTTCTCCAACCAGAAGCCCTTATTCTACTCTGTCTCCTCCAAGGCACCATTTTAATGATACGCTAATATATGCCAACTTTTTTTTTTTAGGTGTGCAGTAATGAAGCCACCTGCATTTGTAACACTACTTGGGCAGGTACAGATTGTAGCATGTTTGATCCTAGAAGGAAAGATGACTCTGAGAAACCAAGTGGACCAAAGGGTTTGTGTGATTTCAGTTCCTTTTACCACCGTATAATTACATTATTAACAGGAACATCTGTAACAGAACATTTGAAAACTATTAAACTATTATATATATATTATTTCTTTGTATACAAGTTTTACATCTATGGTTCAGGAGGTATTTCACAAAAAGCACTGATATAAAAATACTTTATTTTGAATTTTGTTATTTTTCTAAAATATAGAAAATATATACTACCATAATTAATCCTAATAATAATTCTACCTCTCAGTCTGACAAAATGCCTAACATTTTAAATGTATGAGTATGTTTATATAATTTTAAAGATTACATTTTTATATTTTAACACGTAAAACCGTTTATTAAAATTATGTATATATGGAAGTAATCTAATATTCTTGGATACTTTCAGAGGTCATTTGTAGCACAGTTCTCTGCATATAGAATTCCTGTTGAATTTAGTTGGATTGGAAGTGTATATAGGAATTAAAGCCTTGGATTGTTTAACAAGAATCTAATAAAAAAAATACAGGATATTAATATATGTTTGTAAAATCCAAGTTACTTTTTATTTTTGCAAACTTAATAGATTTTTTTAACTGTGGCAGGACTATTGATTTAAATGTTCTGAATGCAAAAAAGAGAGAGAGCTAGAAGACCCCTGAGACTAGCTCTAGAAATAGGTACAAGGATGTCTTAAGGCTTTTCCAGTCCTGTACTGTGTCATTTTATAATAAAAAGCAAACCTTAGTTGTAGCTGTTCTCTTCTTTTTCCAGCCTTATCTTTTTCCTAAATGAAAGCTTCAGTAATAAAAGATACACATTCCACATTATGCAATTTAGGACCTGATGATCTCAGAGATCCTCGTTTCTACCATTGTAAGAGAAGGATTTCATTCCTCAAGATATAAAATTCACTGAAAATAAGTATTACAAAAGTTATCCTTCTCTGACAATATTTTGGTGATCCTTTCTTACTTCTAAAGTAACAAAAACGCTTTGTAGAAAATGGAATTCTAATAGGTCTGAAAGAAGATTTGATTTGGAAAGTTTTTTGAAACTCCTTTAGATATCCCAAACAGGATAAAGATAAGAAATTGTAGAGTAGGAGACATGAAGAGCAAAGGGGAACAAACTGGTATTGAAAGAACATTAAAGCCAGTTTCCAAAGAAAAGCTTTATGTAATGGAAATAGAAGACAGCTGTGTCTTTGCCTCCCAATTTTTCCAGTTCCTAGTTTTAATATTTCCTAATTTTGCATTTTGCTTACATGATGCAGATTATAATTTCAATTTGGAAACAAAAATTCTACCTACTTATTCATAAGGGAGGCTATAACCCTAAGATTATTTTAGTCATTAAAAGTCTGCAGTATTTAAGAATGTTATTTTTCTATCTAACTAAAATAATCTTAAAACTATTTTAAAAACTTCCATAACTAAAAATATTTGCAGTGTTATACTATTTCCTAAAAAAAAGATTTTCCCTATGCTCAAAGTGTAAAAGTATTTCAGTTGGGTTTCAATAGACTGCTTTGTTTATGTAAACCAATACAGGTAGTCCTCAACTTACAACCATTTATTTAGTGACTGTTTGAAGTTACAACAGCACTGAAAAAAGTGACTTATGGCTGTTTTTCATACTTACAACTGTTCCAGCGTCCCCATGGTCACATGATCAAAATTTGGATGCTTGGCAACTGGCATATATTTATGACGGCTGCAGTGTCCTCGGGTCATGTGATCCCCTTTTGTGACCTTCTGACAAGCAAAGTCAGTGGGGAAGCCGGATTCACTTAACAACCGGGTTACTAACTTACCAGCTGCAGTGATTCACTTAACAACTGTAGTAAGAAAGGTCATAAAATGGGGCAAAACTCACTTAACAACTGTCTTGCTTAACAGAAATTTTGGGCTCAATTGTGGTCGTAAGTTGAGGATACCTGTAGTTCTGAGATTTTTGTAAAACTTGAAAGTTGAAGATAATCTTCATACTTTGCAAAAGTGCCTATTATAACTAAAATTATACAAACCATCTTGTTGTTTTCACTGCTTTTGTGTACTTCATTTCTTTCAGTCCTTTTACATATTTTAGGTTCTAAGATTAGAGTCAGAGATAAACTTTGAAATATAATATTAACAGTTAGAACTGCAAGATATTTTCATACAATCAATATTTAAACAACTTTTTCCAATAAAATAATTTCCAGGTGAATAGGATAATAAATCTCATTGTGAGTTTGAAACTAAAGAGTCATTGGTAATTTAAAATACAGTTAGGTATTTATTTAGTAAAATACCATAACTGATCCAGAGAGGCCTTGGTGGAGGGTGTTCTAGCATTGGTGAGGTTCTGTGAGATCTGGAGGAAGATATCATTCGATATTCGGGCAAGATACCTTATGTTGCTGTTCATCTTGCAGAGACAAGCACATTTCTCACATTACTTTTCTTTTCTCAAACAAGGATATTCCACACATCAAAACCCCAATGTTTTCAGAAGGGTATGTTTGAAACTAATTCCTAAAGGAAATTCTAATCCCGGAAAAAGTTAGCTGTATTGTTCCTATTTTTTCCTCATTCATATAAATCTAATAAAATATATTAAAAAAAAAGTTAGGATGAACCTCAGTTGAATATTGATATGTTACTATATTGCATCCCATTTTTCCTCCTGACTTCAACTTGCTTTTGATTCATACTCAGTATAGCCTATCTTCCAAATTAACTTTTATAAAGTTTATGTTGCCATAACATAAAGAAAAATAACTCCAACATGCACAACCAACAAGCTGTATTTTTCTGGTTAATAGATTAGGATATTTCCCTTTCCTTTCATTAATCCTAGGTAGTTGCTAGTTGGAATATACTGGTTATTAGAAATTATGCAGAATGTAGGCTAGACTGGAAAGGAAATTAATTTTTATTTGGAATTAAAATTTTAGGCATTAGAAACAGTTAAAGTCTTTTGCGTTTATGTGTTTCTAATTGGAAGAAAATCCAGTGTAATGGAAGCTGCCAGTTTTGAAGAATCAGGACAGATTCAAGCTACACCAGCATAAATGAATTTTATGCTGAACATGATACATTAATAAAGATTTATGCCTCATCATTAATAAATATATTGGTACATAACCACTAGTGGGGGCCCACTTAATGCATGAAATGATAGGTATGGTAGACAGGTAGCCATCCAGGGCCCTCTGCTTCTTGTCCAGCCAAACTATAGATCAGTGGTTTTCAACCTTTTTAATGCCGCGACCCCAACCGGTCGTAAGTCGAGGACTAAACCGGTCGTAAGTCGAGGACTAAACCGGTCGTAAGTCGAGGACTACCCAACCGGTCGTAAGTCGAGGACTTTCCCTGCCCGGGAGCACCGCGCATGCGTGGTTCCGCCCCCTGCGCTGGCCGACGCGTAGCTGGCAAGCGGCAGAGTTGGAGCAGGCCGACCACCAGCTGGCCCAGCCCAAGGGAGGTAAGGCACCCGCCGGAAAAGGGGAAAAAAATGGTGGACAAAAAAATGGCGGACAGCCTTGCTTGGCGACCCCCGTGAAATGGTCGATCGACCCCAAATGGGGTCCCGACCCACAGGTTGAGAACCACTGCTATAGATGAACAGTTTGAATGATGTCAACTAGGAACTACTTCATATGCTAGTGGAAAGCTGGAGGAATCCTAGAGTACTGATAGTGGCCGATCACTCAGGCTTTCCACAGATTCATATCCAGGTTTTTTCCCCTCTAATTTTCTATACTTTCTACATTTTTTCATATTTTTAAAAATATTCAATATTTACCATACTTAGTTAGTGCTTTTAAAAATTTGTAAAGACCATAAGCAAACTTTTCTTGGCTGTTTGGCTCATTGATCATAATGCAACATATTCTCAATAGTACAGGAGTGTGTTATCATTTAGATATAAAATATGTGTTTTTAAACAGTCATCAGTACTATATTCTCTAGAGCAGTATTTCTCCTCCTTAGAGTTCACACCTCTGAAAACTGCCAAGGCTGAGAGACACAGTTATAGCTATTTATCATGAAGGCTGATAAAACAAATGTAACCTCTTTGGACACTGATGTGTTTATGGGATAGTATTAGCTCGGAATGGGACCTTTAGGCTCCTACCCTTGGCCACACCTCCTTCACCTCAAGCCTTCTCCTTCTGCCCACTTGCCTGCAGTGTTCCTCCTTGGCTGATTCACCCCTGCCCATTTTCCCTGGCCAGTGGGTCCCTGGCACTCCGCCTCACGCCCTTCGGCTCGGCCCATTAGCTGAATCCCCCTTTGTCCCAGGCTTTGGGCCGCACGGGACAGTTAGCCACCAGCCAATCGGATGGATGGCAGGCAGCAGCCCTGTTGCTCTCAGGGGGGCAGCATGCGATGGGCGATTGCAGGGGCTGTGTTGTGAGGCAGCAGATGAATGGCTGGTGTGGCTTCTCTGATTGCGTGGAGGGGGGAGAAGCCTGGGGTGGGGCACGAAGGAATGGGGAAGCATAGTGTGGGGCAGCAGGCCAACTCCCCATTCAGTGTGAGGCCAGAATCCAGGAGCAGAGGCAACGGAGGGGAAGGTGGAAGAAAAAAAGGAAGCCGGTGCTCTCCAGACTTTTTTTTTTTAAGTTGCCAGAGGCTCCAGGCAGAGAGGGCAACAGGCAGGCAGCGGTGGGCAGGGGCTTCTCATTTTGATCCCTCCCACCTATCATTGCCTCTATGCCTGGACTCCAGCCTGATGGGCCTCTGTGTGTCTCTCAGCTCACGTCTCCCTTCCCCCTTTTCCCCTCCGTTCATTCAGTCTGATTTCAGTCCCCCTTCCTCCTAGGCGGTGTCTGGTCCTTGGTCCCCTATAGCAGAGATCCCCAACCTTTTGGGCACCAGGGACCGGTTCCGTGGAGAGAGGTTTTTCTGTGGACCAGAGAGGGCGTGGTTTTGCATGCTGCCTGCATCCCACAGATGGGGCTTTGCTTGTTTGTGCGGACTGGTTGCTGGCATGCTGCGGCCCAGTACTGGTCCACAGAC